GATTGGCTTGACTGGGATTGCAATCCCTTGTCACCCCGTCAAAATTCAGCCAAGGAGCCATCCTTCAAAGCTTTCATCAACTATCCATCCATCCATCCATCATCATCAATCCATCCATCCATGCATCAGCGAAGGAAGCCAACCAGTCAGGCAGTCAGCCAGCCAGCCCGCCTGGTGGACATCATTATGCATCAACCACAAGCCACTCAACTCCGCCTGCCACACACAACACAAAACACCTGCGAATCACCAAAACCAATCAGCTCTCCGACAGACACAGACACACACACACACACAAAAGCACACCAACACACTCACACACAGACACAGACACACAATCACACAGACAACCAATCCAACAATCAACCCAAAGTCAAATCTCAATACATAAATGCAACGCTGCATCGCTCACCCACTCAATCTCTCTCTCTCTCTCACGCTATCTCTCGCCATCTCTCACCACCTCACTCTCTGTCTCTCTATCTCTCCCTCCCTCCCTCCCTCCACAGAAACACAACCAGTCACAGATGAGTCAGAAAGCACTCAGTCGGATTCAACTGATCAACAGTCGACTACCATGTCTCAATTCGAGTCAACAACACCAGGTCAGTCAATTCATTATGCGTATTATTCTTATTCTTATTCCAATTATTATTCATTTTCGTATTCTTATGATGACTGGTAGTAATAGTATCACTATTATTGTTATTATTAATAATAATGTCATTATTGGAATTCACCCAACACCCGCCCTCTCCAATCACATCAACGCCATCAACCAGGAGTGTGTTTCGTTTTTTCTCTCATCCACCAACATTACTTGGCTTGACTTGATTGGCTTGACTGGGATTGCAATCCCTTGTCACCCCGTCAACATTCAGCCAAGGAGCCATCCATCCACCAATCCACCCATCAGCGAAGGAAGCCAACCAGTCAGGCAGTCAGCCAGCCAGCCCGCCTGGTGGACATCATTATGCATCAACCACCAGCCACTCAACTCCGCCTGCCACACACAACACAAAACACCTGCGAATCACCAAAACCAATCAGCTGTCCGACAGACACAGACACACACACACACAAAAGCACACCAACACACTCACACACAGACACAGACACACAATCACACAGACAACCAATCCAACAATCAACCCAAAGTCAAATCTCAATACATAAATGCAACGCTGCATCGCTCACCCACTCAATCTCTCTCTCTCTCTCACGCTATCTCTCGCCATCTCTCACCACCTCACTCTCTGTCTCTCTATCTCTCCCTCCCTCCCTCCCTCCACAGAAACACAACCAGTCACAGATGAGTCAGAAAGCACTCAGTCGGATTCAACTGATCAACAGTCGACTACCATGTCTCAATTCGAGTCAACAACACCAGGTCAGTCAATTCATTATGCGTATTATTCTTATTCTTATTCCAATTATTATTCATTTTCGTATTCTTATGATGACTGGTAGTAATAGTATCACTATTATTATTATTATTAATAATAATGTCATTATTGGAATTCACCCAACACCCGCCCTCTCCAATCACATCAACGCCATCAACCAGGAGTGTGTTTCGTTTTTTCTCTCATCCACCAACATTACTTGGCTTGACTTGATTGGCTTGACTGGGATTGCAATCCCTTGTCACCCCGTCAACATTCAGCCAAGGAGCCATCCATCCACCAATCCACCCATCAGCGAAGGAAGCCAACCAGTCAGGCAGTCAGCCAGCCAGCCCGCCTGGTGGACATCATTATGCATCAACCACAAGCCACTCAACTCCGCCTGCCACACACAACACAAAACACCTGCGAATCACCAAAACCAATCAGCTGTCCGACCGACACAGACACACACACACACACACAAAAGCACACCAACACACTCACACACAGACACAGACACACAATCACACAGACAACCAATCCAACAATCAACCCAAAGTCAAATCTCAATACATAAATGCAACGCTGCATCGCTCACCCACTCAATCTCTCTCTCTCTCTCGCTATCTCTCGCCATCTCTCACCACCTCACTCTCTGTCTCTCTATCTCTCCCTCCCTCCCTCCCTCCACAGAAACACAACCAGTCACAGATGAGTCAGAAAGCACTCAGTCGGATTCAACTGATCAACAGTCGACTACCATGTCTCAATTCGAGTCAACAACACCAGGTCAGTCAATTCATTATGCGTATTATTCTTATTCTTATTCCAATTATTATTCATTTTCGTATTCTTATGATGACTGGTAGTAATAGTATCACTATTATTTATTATTATTAATAATGTCATTATTGAATTCACCCAACACCCGCCCTCTCCAATCACATCAACGCCATCAACCAGGAGTGTGTTTCGTTTTTTCTCTCATCCACCAACATTACTTGGCTTGACTTGATTGGCTTGACTGGGATTGCAATCCCTTGTCACCCCGTCAACATTCAGCCAAGGAGCCATCCATCCACCAATCCACCCATCAGCGAAGGAAGGCAACTAGTCAGGCAGTCAGCCAGCCAGCCCGCCTGGTGGACATCATTATGCATCAACCACCAGCCACTCAACTCCGCCTGCCACACACAACACAAAACACCTGCGAATCACCAAAACCAATCAGCTGTCCGACCGACACAGACACACACACACACACAAAAGCACACCAACACACTCACACACAGACACAGACACACAATCACACAGACAACCAATCCAACAATCAACCCAAAGTCAAATCTCAATACATAAATGCAACGCTGCATCGCTCACCCACTCAATCTCTCTCTCTCTCTCACGCTATCTCTCGCCATCTCTCACCACCTCAATCTCTGTCTCTCTATCTCCCTCCCTCCCTCCCTCCCTCCACAGAAACACAACCAGTCACAGATGAGTCAGAAAGCACTCAGTCGGATTCAACTGATCAACAGTCGACTACCATGTCTCAATTCGAGTCAACAACACCAGGTCAGTCAATTCATTATGCGTATTATTCTTATTCTTATTCCAATTATTATTCATTTTCGTATTCTTATGATGACTGGTAGTAATAGTATCACTATTATTATTATTATTAATAATGTCATTATTGGAATTCACCCAACACCCGCCCTCTCCAATCACATCAACGCCATCAACCAGGAGTGTGTTTCGTTTTTTCTCTCATCCACCAACATTACTTGGCTTGACTTGATTGGCTTGACTGGGATTGCAATCCCTTGTCACCCCGTCAACATTCAGCCAAGGAGCCATCCATCCACCAATCCACCCATCAGCGAAGGAAGACAACCAGTCAGGCAGTCAGCCAGCCAGCCCGCCTGGTGGACATCATTATGCATCAACCACCAGCCACTCAACTCCGCCTGCCACACACAACACAAAACACCTGCGAATCACCAAAACCAATCAGCTGTCCGACAGACACAGACACACACACACACACAAAAGCACACCAACACACTCACACACAGACACAGACACACAATCACACAGACAACCAATCCAACAATCAACCCAAAGTCAAATCTCAATACATAAATGCAACGCTGCATCGCTCACCCACTCAATCTCTCTCTCTCTCTCACGCTATCTCTCGCCATCTCTCACCACCTCACTCTCTGTCTCTCTATCTCCCTCCCTCCCTCCCTCCACAGAAACACAACCAGTCACAGATGAGTCAGAAAGCACTCAGTCGGATTCAACTGATCAACAGTCGACTACCATGTCTCAATTCGAGTCAACAACACCAGGTCAGTCAATTCATTATGCGTATTATTCTTATTCTTATTCCAATTATTATTCATTTTCGTATTCTTATGATGACTGGTAGTAATAGTATCACTATTATTATTATTAATAATAATGTCATTATTGGAATTCACCCAACACCCGCCCTCTCCAATCACATCAACGCCATCAACCAGGAGTGTGTTTCGTTTTTTCTCTCATCCACCAACATTACTTGGCTTGACTTCATTGGCTTGACTGGGATTGCAATCCCTTGTCACCCTGTCAACATTCAGCCAAGGAGCCATCCATCCACCAATCCACCCATCAGCGAAGGAAGCCAACCAGTCAGGCAGTCAGCCAGCCAGCCCGCCTGGTGGACATCATTATGCATCAACCACCAGCCACTCAACTCCGCCTGCCACACACAACACAAAACACCTGCGAATCACCAAAACCAATCAGCTGTCCGACAGACACAGACACACACACACACACACAAAAGCACACCAACACACTCACACACAGACACAGACACACAATCACACAGAAAACCAATCCAACAATCAACCCAAAGTCAAATCTCAATACATAAATGCAACGCTGCATCGCTCACCCACTCAATCTCTCTCTCTCTCTCACGCTATCTCTCGCCATCTCTCACCACCTCACTCTCTGTCTCTCTATCTCCCTCCCTCCCTCCTCCCTCCACAGAAACACAACCAGTCACAGATGAGTCAGAAAGCACTCAGTCGGATTCAACTGATCAACAGTCGACTACCATGTCTCAATTCGAGTCAACAACACCAGGTCAGTCAATTCATTATGCGTATTATTCTTATTCTTATTCCAATTATTATTCATTTTCGTATTCTTATGATGACTGGTAGTAATAGTATCACTATTATTATTATTATTAATAATGTCATTATTGGAATTCACCCAACACCCGCCCTCTCCAATCACATCAACGCCATCAACCAGGAGTGTGTTTCGTTTTTTCTCTCATCCACCAACATTACTTGGCTTGACTTGATTGGCTTGACTGGGATTGCAATCCCTTGTCACCCTGTCAACATTCAGCCAAGGAGCCATCCATCCATCCATCCACCCATCAGCGAAGGAAGCCAACTAGTCAGGCAGCCAGCCAGCCAGCCCGCCTGGTGGACATCATTATGCATCAACCACCAGCCACTCAACTCCGCCTGCCACACACAACACAAAACACCTGCGAATCACCAAAACCAATCAGCTGTCCGACCGACACAGACACACACACACACACAAAAGCACACCAACACACTCACACACAGACACAGACACACAATCACACAGACAACCAATCCAACAATCAACCCAAAGTCAAATCTCAATACATAAATGCAACGCTGCATCGCTCACCCACTCAATTCTCTCTCTCTCTCTCACGCTATCTCTCGCCATCTCTCACCACCTCACTCTCTGTCTCTCTATCTCCCTCCCTCCCTCCCTCCACAGAAACACAACCAGTCACAGATGAGTCAGAAAGCACTCAGTCGGATTCAACTGATCAACAGTCGACTACCATGTCTCAATTCGAGTCAACAACACCAGGTCAGTCAATTCATTATGCGTATTATTCTTATTCTTATTCCAATTATTATTCATTTTCGTATTCTTATGATGACTGGTAGTAATAGTATCACTATTATTATTATTAATAATATTAATGTCATTATTGGAATTCACCCAACACCCGCCCTCTCCAATCACATCAACGCCATCAACCAGGAGTGTGTTTCGTTTTTTCTCTCATCCACCAACATTACTTGGCTTGACTTGATTGGCTTGACTGGGATTGCAATCCCTTGTCACCCCGTCAACATTCAGCCAAGGAGCCATCCATCCATCCATCCATGCATCAGCGAAGGAAGCCAACTAGTCAGGCAGCCAGCCAGCCAGCCCGCCTGGTGGACATCATTATGCATCAACCACCAGCCACTCAACTCCGCCTGCCACACACAACACAAAACACCTGCGAATCACCAAAACCAATCAGCTGTCCGACAGACACAGACACACACACACACACAAAAGCACACCAACACACTCACACACAGACACAGACACACAATCACACAGACAACCAATCCAACAATCAACCCAAAGTCAAATCTCAATACATAAATGCAACGCTGCATCGCTCACCCACTCAATCTCTCTCTCTCTCTCTCACGCTATCTCTCGCCATCTCTCACCACCTCACTCTCTGTCTCTCTATCTCCCTCCCTCCCTCCCTCCACAGAAACACAACCAGTCACAGATGAGTCAGAAAGCACTCAGTCGGATTCAACTGATCAACAGTCGACTACCATGTCTCAATTCGAGTCAACAACACCAGGTCAGTCAATTCATTATGCGTATTATTCTTATTCTTATTCCAATTATTATTCATTTTCGTATTCTTATGATGACTGGTAGTAATAGTATCACTATTATTATTATTAATAATAATGTCATCATTGGAATTCACCCAACACCCGCCCTCTCCAATCACATCAACGCCATCAACCAGGAGTGTGTTTCGTTTTTTCTCTCATCCACCAACATTACTTGGCTTGACTTGATTGGCTTGACTGGGATTGCAATCCCTTGTCACCCCGTCAACATTCAGCCAAGGAGCCATCCATCCATCCATCCATGCATCAGCGAAGGAAGCCAACCAGTCAGCCAGCCAGCCAGCCAGCCCGCCTGGTGGACATCATTATGCATCAACCACCAGCCACTCAACTCCGCCTGCCACACACAACACAAAACACCTGCGAATCACCAAAACCAATCAGCTGTCCGACAGACACAGACACACACACACACACAAAAGCACACCAACACACTCACACACAGACACAGACACACAATCACACAGACAACCAATCCAACAATCAACCCAAAGTCAAATCTCAATACATAAATGAAACGCTGCATCGCTCACCCACTCAATCTCTCTCTCTCTCTCACGCTATCTCTCGCCATCTCTCACCACCTCACTCTCTGTCTCTCTATCTGCCTCCCTCCCTCCCTCCACAGAAACACAACCAGTCACAGATGAGTCAGAAAGCACTCAGTCGGATTCAACTGATCAACAGTCGACTACCATGTCTCAATTCGAGTCAACAACACCAGGTCAGTCAATTCATTATGCTTGTTAATTTTTTCTTACTCTTATTGTTTATTCTATAGTTTGGTTTGTAAGGATTATTTATGTTTTTCGGGTTGATCACGGATTGATATCTGTTGGAGAACCATTGAAATCCAGGGAGTATTGGACAGCTGCTGTTTCATCCTAATTTGGGAATCTTCGGCAGTATGCACCCACTGGGATTCGAACCCGGGACCTTCCGTTTACAAGGCAAGCTCGTATACCATTCAGCCACTGGACCCGATTCAATGGCCGTGAATTCCTACCTCTACTAATTCGTGATTTAGCGCGACCCCAACCATTGTCGTTGGTGGGACATCCATCCACACATGTGACATCTAATTGGACCTCACTGGTCACGACTTCTCACTAGAACTCAGGAAACTCCAACCTGTAGCAAGTCCCATTGGCTGAATGGTATACGAGGTTGCCTTGTAACCGGAAGGTCCCGGGTTCGAATCCCAGTGGGTGCGTACTGCCGATGATTCCCAAACTAGGATGAAACAGCAGCTGTCCAGTACTCCCTGGATTTCAATGGTTCTCCAACTGATATCAATCCGTGATCAACCCGTAAAACATAACTAATCCTTACAAACCAAACTATAGAAAGTTAATCTGATGCTCGCTAGTGACTTGCTACAGGTTGGAGTTTCCTGAGTTCTAGTGAGAATTCGTGACCAGTGAGGTCCAATTAGATGTCACGTGTGTGGATGGATGTCCCACGAACGACAATGGTTGGGGTCGCACTAAATCACGAATTAGTAGATCTTATTGTTATTCTTGTTGTTTCTTGTATTAATGATTATTTTTCTGTTATTTATGTCATTATTATTCTTTGGTCATCCTCAATATTCACCTAACATCCGTCTCCTCCAATCACATCCAATCGTTCCACCCTCAGTGTCCTACTCTCACGGAACATTTCTAAGCTTGACTTGATTGGCTGCACTGACATTGCAATTGCTTGGCTTATCGTCATCATGCAGACACAAAGTATGCCAATCATTCAGATAGTCAATAATCCAGGCTTCTTTATGCATCACTCACCACCCACGCATCCATCTTTGCCTGCCACACACCAGAAAACCCCCACCCATCACCAAAACCAACTGACAATCCCTCACAGAGACACACACACACACCCATGAACGCACATACACTCATGACTAAACAAACACACAGACATACAGACAAGCAATCAAACAATCGACGGAATGTCAAATCTCAAGAAATTAATTTAACCCTCTCTCTGTACTGCATGAAATGCTCAACCATGTACAACAGCAAAGATAATATCCTAATCCTCTCTCTGCTCTTTTGAACACTAATCATCGCCACTCAATCCTCGTTATTTTTTGTTCACCTCTCCCACTAATTTTTTCAACATTCACATTAAATTTATATGCTCATTTCTTCCTCTCCTTATTTTTCTCTGCAGGAACGCAACCAGTTACAGATATATCGGAACAAACCGTGTCAAATAGTAGTTCTGAACAGTTGACGACTACGCCTGAATCCCCATCAATAACATTTAGTGAGTTTATTCATTATTCACTCAACAATATATATCTGTATGTAATTATATAAATGACGTTAGTGATGAAATTCTACTTGCCATTAAACCAGCTAAACCTAATCTCTGGTAATTTACTGCATCGAAATTTTGGTCACAACATCATTTTTAAAATGTACTACTCGGTGCAAATGAAGAATATCCTACTGATTCTGTCCATCTGATGAATTTGAATTTCAAATTAAAATATTCTTATGGAGACTGCAATTTATCTAGAGCAACTCAATACAGCCAACATTACCTTTTTAAGCAGTGTCCAACAGTTTTGGGTAAAGGAGTCATTATATCAATCAGGAGTTCCACAATGGAACACTTTGTAGATATGGCCGACAAAACTGCAAGAAATTCATTCTTTACAATTTTATACTTCTTACTACCGCCTAAATTCTCTAATTTCGTGATCATTCTTTTATTAGGCATTGCTAAGGTAGTTGCTATAAAAGATTTTTAGACCAATATTAGTGTACACACAAAAGGTTGTTTATTTACACCAACAAATAGTAAGATAGGAAGAATGTCAGGCATTTTTCTCACTGGCTAATCAATCAACGAAGACTTTCATTAAATGCTGTGAAAAAACTAACCGGCTTTACCATTTTATGAAGGCATATTGACTATGATGTTTTTACTTATTATACTGAGTGGAAGCTGGAGATGTTTGTAATCTATCTGCATATACTATATACTACTGATTGATTTAGATGAGTAGTTAGTTGTATATCACTTATATCAGTCAGGTAATCTACGTCTTAACATACAAATCACGCGTTTTTTTTCATTTCCCCCTTGATACTTTATAAAATGCTAAACTTTACATCATCTTATGATCTTGTTATCTAACATCATTTAATTTATCTCTTTCTGTCAAGGTTGGCCTAATAAGATAATAATAAAGGATCTATACAACATCGAATTCAAACTTAAAGGTAATTTGAATATCTGGTCATTAAGTTTATGATATTTTTTCTGACGACTTTTGACAATTAAAAGATATATATTATCTATAGTTAAAAATTGAATCACTAATTACTATTTTGCGTTCGTAAGGGTTGGAATAGTTTCAAGCTGGTGTTTTTTTTCTTTCTTTCATGAATTTTTAGTTAGACCGATCTCACTGGGATCAACGAATTACTTGATCAGTGTTGTTTAGAGAACCTTCAGGGTTACAAAAAGATATTATCAGTCGGTCAAAATCCAGTAGCCTATAAATCTTGACTTCTGTCAGTTTTTCAAAGTGATGATTTTACTGTCGCATACAGTCAATGAGTAATTTTGTCCTCCCTCGTTATGCCTACACTCCTTAGATTTTCGAAGATACTTTCTCGAATCTGGTCACTACTCTGGTGTGATCAGTGGATAATTATCCTCACTTTTTAGGTTTTTGGGCGACAACTGAATTGAATGTAATTATAGATTCCGAAGTTAAAATTCACGAACTAGTGGATTCTAACTCACTGGCTGAATGTTATTACTATTATTCTCTTGAGTTCTGAGTTGAACATAGGGCTTCAATAGCACATCCCCATTTTGTCCTTTTCTCTGTAGCCTTTTTCTTCCGGTCCCACGGTCACCTATAAGCTTTCATCTCCTCCTCATACGATATCTTTCATGTCACCCCTGGGATCCACACATAACTAGTCGTCTGGCCTCCATTCGAACGATGGCACCCAATGGTCTCCTCAGCGTGTGTCTGGCTCATCTCCATTTTCTTTGACATATCCTTTGAGCAGTCTTCATTAACATCATTCAACAGTTATATGATAATTCTACATATCGTGTTATTCAGTGTCAAAGTGAGTATAGATTTTGAATTGAAAACGGGAGTAAGACAAGGCTGCCTACTATCGTCAATGAAACTCCTAATTGTGGTTGACTAGATTATCCAACTTGCGTCGGTAGCATAGCGGTTGGCACGCTCACCGATCATGCACATGGTCCGGGGTTCAATCCCCGGCCGACGCACTCCTGGTAAGAGAGAAGGTTAGGCATGAGGCTAGCAACCCCAATCCTGTAAAAACATACACTGCTACAGAAACTTCAAGCCTTCCAGCTTAAAGCCCTATGTTCCACTGGGAACGTGAAGGAAAAAGAGTTTATGATTCAAGAGTGAGAGAGGAAGGTCCTGAATTTCCTATACATCACAAACAGAGAGTTCTCTTCAGGTTCTTGCGAATGTGCAACCAAACCTGCTATCAGGTATCATAACAGTAAAGTATATTGTGAAAACCTTGTTAGTTTAATTCTTTAGTCTGGGGCATATTGATATGGTAGTGTGTAGGCGGTTCACCCCTAGAGTGCTCGCCGACCGCGCATGTGGTTCGCGATTTGGTTTCCAGACAATGCACTACTGAAAATCACTTAGTTTGCCACCCAGAAGTAAGTTTGAGAAATATAGAAGCTTATGTGTGAGGCTGGAGACTTCACCGATGGAAGATAACATGGCTGCTAAAACTTCAAATCTTCAGGCTTTCAGTTCTATTTTCCACCCGGAACTGAAGTGTATATATATATATATATATATGTATATATATATATATGCCTGATGACGTCTTCAGCTCAGGTTTTGATCGGTTAAAAGATTGAGAAGTCAACCCATCCTCCTGACCTACTCAAATTAAGTGGATCTTAGCATTGAGGCTAGATAATTGGTAACATTCTACAGGAAACTGTGAATCTGTAATATTGGCGCTATCACCTGTCACAGTCCAATAGGAGGTGAGTATTCACTGAAACAGCTCAACGGTTGCGCGTCTGACTACAAAATGTGACTTCAGTTCGAATCTAAGAGTGGGTAAGGACAACAGCTTTTTCATGGATCTAGATATGCTTTACAGGCGAGCGTTCATAAGAGTTGAGACTAGGTTCATGGTTTCCTGTAAACCGATTCCAAATGTCTTGGCTGTGTAAAAACAATTCCCCCATATAGGAAATTTAAGTAATTCTTTGTCAGTCATTTTCACCAAGCCAGTTTTACTTACCTTGATGTTACATAAAGAACGCGGACAGTGTCATGACAGTAATTACATTTTTTGTAGTTGTACTTAAACAGTAAACTGGATCAACTGCAATCAACTCATAAATTGTCTCTGTTTTCTCAAAACTTTACTTGACAGGTCGTTGTATTTATGCCTCCTTTGCATCTGGTAAGTTGCATGCATATATATATATACATTTATATATAAGCGCATATTTCGCAGGTATACTCCCGTGCAAAATGATCACTTCAGTATCATCACCAGATTCAGTGAAATATGAAGACTAATGATTGGGAAATAAAAAAATTGAAAACCAGAGGACTTTACCCATTGACCTCCGAATTATTATTATTATTTCCACGGTTTCCAAGTGGAACATGGGGCTTTAACAGAACATCCATTTTTGTCCTATTCTCTGCAGTTATCTTTATCTGGCCACATGGTGCCCATAAACCTTCATTGCTTCATCACACTACGCCCTCCGCGTCGTCGTCAAAAATACGCTTGACTCATAGTTCTCTATTCTGGTCTCAACCTGCCACTCAACCATCTCTTCAACATATCTATGATCCATCTACTACGCTCGCTTAGACATACTTCTCCAAAAATAGGTTCCCTATTGCTTCGCTCCCAGGGTTCTGTGTCACTAATTCTTTCTGGCCATCTGATATTCAGTACTAAAAGAAGAAAAATGTTTATTAAAGTATATGGCTTGTCAGAAATGCTTTTCATGACGTGCAGTGCAAGTTTCTGATCCATATAGAAGAACTGACTTAACCTTGATGTTGAAAATCCGAAATTCGTACTTTATACAGAGTGCGGAAGACTTCAGAGTGATTAAGGTTTGTCTTAACATTTCAATTCTGGTGATGTCATCATCCATGCCTCCACCTACATTCGAAACGATGCTGCCTAGATAAGTGAAGCCGGTAACCTCTTTCAAATCTCTCTCGTTGATGGTGGCTGATGCTGTTTGCTATTGTGGTTGTTGATTGGTGAGTATCTTCATCACCTCCGGCTTCCCTATGTTCACCTGCAGTCCTGTCTTCCCTGCCTATTCAACCAGTTTGTTGGTTTTCATCAGTAAGCCTTCAAGTTGGTGTGACATTAGACATAAATCCGAAAACATCCGTCTTCTTATCGGTGTTCCAACGCATTCCTGTCTTTTTATTCTCCTGTACAGTCTGAGGTATAATCCAGTTCACCACAATCAAGACCATCATCCTGGTTGATAATTGGCATCCTTGTCTTACCCCTGTCATCAATTCAGTCACTTTTCTGAGTTTTCTATTGTGTCTCATCTGGCATGTGACACCGTCATGTAGTTGTTGAATGTTGTTGGTAATCAACTGGGTCACTTCGTAGCGTTGAAGTAGTTTCCAAATTACTTAGTGGTCAACACGATCAAAAGCTCTTTCAAAGTCAACAAAGGAAGTTAAAGTAGCTGTTTGACTGCCATTCTATGCACAGAGTTGCAATTTCATTGGCACATGATTTGAGTTTTCCCAAGCTAGATTGTTCTGTCGAGTGAAGTTCTGAACCCAGTGGATCTTTTATTCTCTCCAGGATGATGCGACTTTATATTTTACTTGGCGTGGAGAAGAGCATTATTCCACGCCAGTCCTTGTGAAGGCTGAATCATCCTTATTTGGTAGTTTGACAGGGTAGCGCTTCTTCCAGCCAGTCAACTGACGGATGTTCACTGGATGAAAGCAAATTAACCATAGGAGTATGGTCAGATCGAGGAAAAGATGACATGATGTAGCAGAGAAGTGCCAGTAATCCGTGAAAATATAGTGAATGGAAGTGGACTCAGTATTATTAACTGGAGGGACATTAATCGAATTCAAACGATAACCGGAATTACACAAAGGATGCGACTACCAAAATGTTGTCAACAGCGTAGAAATCTCTCCTGCAGTGTACAGCAAGAAGGTTGCCATTATCCAGCAGTCCTCTGCTACAAACAACGCAGACAAAGAAAACAAGAAGAAATACCACAGAAAACTGATTCAAATGATTCATAGATTTGACAAGCACTTGAATAAAAGTTTCCAACAGGCTGTAGACTTTTGTAAACAGTTTACTTTGCTGGATACTTAAGATAATATGGCCAGCCAAAAAACAATATGCAATAAGAAATTCAGGTAGGCAAAGAAATATCCGAAAATCGATATTTAAGAAATTGTGTGGAAATAAATGAAGACGAGATAACCACAAACACTCAAGGAGGCTGTTGGAGATGATGTTGTATGTTAGGCCGTTGAGTTGAACTCTTGAAAAGAAAGTGACAATTTCACCTTTCAAGTATGATAGGGATAAATGTCTCAGTCCCTTGAATTGTGCATACTATTCACTTGAAACAAGGTTCAACTATGAAGCTTTGCATAGATATTAACCACATCGGACGCAATAAAATAGAAACAAGGGATAGACTTATCATCTATCTGACCAGCTCTGGTGACACAAAACAGATAAAGAATTGTCATGGTAGTCACTTATGAATTCAAATGTTCTCCATGCAACAGACAATATATACATAGACAGATAAATACTAAAAACAATTTATCAGTGATAAACTGACATTATCATTACGAATATATAACGACGAATTACACTTATTCATCCGGTACAAATGCTTACTGACATTGACTATCAAAGAAGTTCACCTCAAGTTTCTTTTTACTATCTGACTATTATATTTTATTGGTGGTAAATGAAATCGCAACAATTCTGCTGAGTAAACTGTGATTTATTCAGTGAAAATTTCATTAAAGTCATTGTTTTGATCTAGGATTATTATTATTATTACTATTAGGTGATTTTATAACACTGACTTTACAGCGATTATAGTGAATATCCCCATTATTAAGCACCGGCACCACTGGCTTCATCCAATGGGCATTAAGGTGTTTCAATGAATAGGCTCAAATATACCCAGGATAATATCACTATCAAGCTAGATTTTCTAATAAATAAAAATATATAATGCCATCGATAATACCCACCTCAGGCAAAAAACTTTTTGTGTGCTTGGGTGTGTGCGTGTGTGTATGTGCGTGCATGTGTAAAACGTCATTTAATAAACTACTTATAAAAAGTGTAACTTGCCATTAAACCACTATCATAACGTGAATTGACAGAATTTAGAATTCAAGAACCATTGGATCGGATTCCAGTGGCTCAATGGTCTACGAGTCAGCTCGCCTTGTAACCAGAAGGCCCTGGGTTCGAACCTCGGTGGGTGCGTACTGCCGAAGAGTTTCAAACTAGGCTGACGAAGCAGCTGTCCAGTACTCCGAGGTTTTCCAGTGGTTCTCTCAGCCCATGATTAAATCCTCCACACTATCATAACGGACTACAACGCTACAATTAGCAGAAATGTGCAACAAAGCTACTCCCTTGAATTGATTTAAACTTTAATTAGTCTAGTAACCAATAATTGACAGCTTGAAAGTCATCAAATCTGACCATAACATGGATCATTATCTTTTAACTTCAGAGAAATTTCAAATCTTCATATTTATTTATTTATTATTTTTGATTTTTATTTATTCCTATCCAAGTGTTTCTAGGAGTAAAAATTGTATAACCCTGATTCTGTGTATAAATTTTAATAAGTTAAAACGCAGTTGTTTTTTTTGTTCAGCGAAGAAATTTCTCCATTCAATGACTTCATTTTCAAGCTGTATAGTCGTATTTATATTACAGAAAAAGGTTATTAAGTGGCACTAAATAATTAATTGCTCAGTCAATGTACGTATATATGTGATAAGAATAACGATAATTACTATGTTGTTATAAGGGGTAGAGTTGAAGTGCATAAATTAGAAAAATATTAGAGATTGTTTTATAACTGAATTGATATCAAAAATGTCAAGTGGTTGTCTAAAAATTTTAAAAATTAGGAGTACGATTACGATAAGAATGAAGATGTGAATTGAAGTGGAAAGAATTCAAGTGGTAAAATAAAATAAAATAAAAACTAGAAACTAGAACATTACTATGACCAAGGTGAAGAAAGGGGTGACACCATTTCGGAATTGATTAAAAATCGTTTATCTAGATGTCTTAATCACACTTTTCCTGCAGCTGACTTGCAATTAGTTTTTACCAACCGAAATATGATTAGACAATACGTCAAGGATAGATTACCGATTTTGTCCACATCTATGTGCTTTACTGTTTTACCTGCTCTTGTGGAGCTGTTTATATTGGATGTTGTAAGCGTAATCTCCGAAAGCACTATCCGGTTTGGTTAATGAAAGGCGAACGTAGAACTGCGAAGTCGTCTATTTGTGATCACCTGTTAGAGTCTGGTCATTTAGTCCCATGTGATTCATCTTTCAAAGTTATCGATCCAAAAGTTTGAGTTTTCTTCACTTATGCATAGCCAAAGCTTTAGATTTATACATGAACAGAAACCTAAATTATGTGTTTAAAAACGTTTTGTCAAACCCCTTTCTTTACCTTGGTCATAGTAATGTTCTAGTTTCTAGTTTTTATTTTATTTTATTTTACCACTTGAATTCTTTCCACTTCACTTCACATCTTCATTCTTATCGTAATCGTACTCCTAATTTTTAAAATTTTTAGACAACCACTTGACATTTTTGATATCAATTCAGTTATAAAACAATCTCTAATATTTTTCTAATTTATGCACTTCAACTCTACCCCTTATAACAACATAGTAATTATCGTTATTCTTATCACATATATACGTACATTGACTGAGCGATTAATTATTTAGTGCCATTTAATAACCTTTTTCTGTGATATAACTAAATACGACTGTACAGTTGGCATGAAAATGAAGTCGTTGAATGGAGAAATTTCTTTGCTGAGCAAAAGGAAAAACTGTGTTTTTACTTATGAATAAATGGGTATTTTTGCGTAATATGAATTTCAAACCCGATATATCGAAGTAATTAACTAATAATTACATTCTCTTAATATGCTGTCTGTGTTTTTTACAAATTTTATTTATATTATCTTTAGGTGGTTAAATGTTGATTTAATCAACGTGGTCTATTCAATATATTTGAAAAAAGAAACAGTGCATATTTCAAACATTCAAACAAAACATTTTTCCTTTTTACATGAAATTCAACATACTTATCAAAAATTTGGGAGACTTTAGAAAATAAACATTATTTTTCTTTACCAAAAAATATTTGTAAATGTAATTGCATAATCATATAAAATAATATAATATATAAGATAATAAATAATAATATAGAATTCCGAATTTTGTTATTCTCACAATGAAGTAAGTTGACTTGCCTTTACAAATATTGATTGTTTTCAATTAGATCTCATCATTAGGCTTAACTCTAATGTATACATAAGTTTACAAATAAAAATTCAAATATAAACCAATCATGGTGTTCTGTCTAAAGGATAATACGATGGTGAATATAAATTGTGCAATTTGTCATAATATTAGTAATGATAATAATAATGGTCTTATCAATAATAAGGATGAAAATGTGAGGCAATCTGTTATAACACGAATACTGAAAAACAGCATGATTAAATAAACAATTGTTCAGGTGGAAGTAGTCAATAAAGGCTAGCAAAAGTAAATGAACCGATTAAGTAATGTTAGATTGTAAAGGAAGTAAATGAGACACGTTTATAATGAAGATGTGATAAGATTAAGGGATGATAAAAGAGGGAGGTGTTGAAAATATAAGCGAGGGGTGGTGTAGAAGTCATTAGTTGGTTACGTCTTAATAGGCCAATGTCACAAGACTTTTCTAGTTAGCTTCTCATGGTCACGCAGGAATGTCACTGAGTTCTGTTATTTTCTTCCATGGTAAATTTAGACTATCATAGCCAGAGCCATAGTAACTTTGAACAACTAATCAGAACTCTGATACACAGTCGCATAAAGGTTAAAAAGGCATTAGAAACAGTGTGGACATGACATTACATTGGATAATTGTTGCTCATGTTTTCTGCGAATGTCTTCCAGCCACTACACGGACAATCCATTCACGAGGGATTTATGCTTCCAGGTGACTGTATATGATGACATTTTGAAACACATTGATACTGCTAACACTGTTCTTTAACCCATCCCTAACTCTGACCTTTATCCTAACTTTAACCATGATCATAACGTTAGCCGAAGACCCTAAGCTTAAGGTTTTCAGCATTACTGTAAGCTTGGGTTGATATTAAAACCCACAACCTTGCCTAACAGTATAGATTAACAGAAAAATCACTTAGGGAATAAGTAGAATAGTGTATCTACCCTAGCCAAATCCGAAAAGGAAGGCATTAATTGATTCAGAATCATCCGCTGTAGCCTTCAATATATCTATTTTGTTCTTGGAGGTTAACTTTTGACAGACATCGACTTTGGCTGTAATAGTTTAACTTCGCCGTTTTCACAGTTGACGGCACTAATTTCAGTAGAGTAATACAAGTATTGCTCAAAAATAACCCGACTGTTTAGTATTTGTGGCACAGCCTTTAAACGCTGGAAATTTATTCGAATTCGAACAACGTTAACACCCAAATATCGAAAGTGCACAATGCGTTTGAAGTGATCGGTCACTTGTGTCCATCGGTCCGCCTCCATTATAATTGGGTTCCTTTTCCTACCTTCCATTGATTTTATCTGTATTGATCTTCTCCTGGAGAGAGATCTAACTGTGATAGTGTTTTGAGGTCCCTCTTTACTGCCATACGTTCTGCTTTAGTCACCGGTGGCTTTTAGAACTGCTTTTGTCTTTCCTAGCACTTACACCCATTTCTTTATTCAGTGTGTTGTGCACTGAAGTCGGCTTCTCCTTTTGTTGAGCAGCTTACTACTAGTTCACCTCCTATTTTGCTATCCCTTATCCCCTCCATTAATTTTAGGTGTCCATTGAGAGCTGCTCCTTGTCTTGTCTTTTTTTTTATTTCTTAGATGATCACATAGATTCCCTTTACCGCTATTTTTCGAAAATCCCCAGTTTTCCTCCTCGATGGTACACTAGATGATGCCACGTAATGTCTACGACTTCGCTTTGGTGGAGGAAATCCATGCCAACTCTTCAGTTTCACCCTCAAGTTTCTCATTGTTGAACTTGAATTGTGGTCACTCTACAA